AAACTACCGTGGGAACGGCTCGAGGATTATGAAAGTAACCTTCAGTACCCCGGAAATCGTCACATCGGACTTGCAGACATAGTATAAAAACCGAAGAGGACCACCAAAATGACGCCTCAGACCACTGTTGAATAGTGAGGTAAAACGATGTCCGCAGTTAGAAAACCAAACTCCACTTCCCTCTACTTCTTCGGGAGCCCATAGCAGCAGAACCGAATCCCCAAAAAACTACTACTAGCCGACCGCAGAGTGGTCGGCATCAATAACGATTCGAAACCCAGCGGATTCCTAAACGGACGCTCCCTATCTCATTTTTGCACAAACGCACAAGGCTTCTTTAACGAACTCCCTGAGGTTCAAATGCGCTTACAAACTGGTTGGTGAGATCTTGTTGTCATTACCGAAACTTGGTGGACTGCCGATATTCTCGATTCTGAATTGCACCTACCCGGAATGTTGCTGCTGAGGCGTGATCGTTCTACACGATGTAGCGGTGTGCTTCTATATTTCCGCAGCAACCTTCAATGTGAACCACTCGATCTCTTCAATGTAGCCCCCAACACACTTTAGTGCACAATGAGGCTATCCAAAGATAGCAGTTGTTAGATCGGTGTAGTCTACCGCCCTCCTGCATCCTCAGACTTAGATAACGGGGCACTCGTGTAGACTATGATAAATATTCTCTCAGTAAAGTTCACTCATGTTTTTATAATGAGAGACTTCAATTGTCCCAGAACTATCACTACCCTTTCGAGCGAAACTTATCACAGTTTATAGACTCATATCCGATGTATGATCAGGTGAAGGATCCCACCAGATTTGGAACCGGTCACCAACCATCAATATTGGACAATATTGACAAACGAGGATCTTATGTCCGAATATACCATTCATACGCATTGTGAGAAAACACAAAGTAGCGAACAGGATCTTATGGTCGAATCGGTTGAAATAACGTCTCCATTAGGACGGAGCGACCATGCAGCTCTGCTTTTCGATTACATTTACCACGTCTCAACAGAACTATGCCTGAAAACAAACACACGCACAGTTATTGACTACAATAAATGGCTGAACATTGCTACTGTCAAACAATGGACGTAATCAGAAGAGCAGCTAGATCCACTGGAGTCCTGGAAAAGATTCACCGAGTATGCTATACAGGCTTGTATTCCATGGCTGATTCGCGATCAAAAGGCACTGGAACGTCCGTAGAGAATAGCAACCGAAACGGTCAAAGCGTGATAGGCTGCAAATTCTCGGACTCTACTCGTCTGAATACCGTCGAATACGGAGAGACATGACCCTCGTTTATCAAATACTACATCAATCTAACCACCCGTGTAGTACTCTACTAACACTATCCAGGAATGGTCACTTCCGAGGACATCCGTTTAAACTTCTGCTCTAAAAAGAGCTGGCTCGACTGCAGGCGGCATTCTTTCAGCCTCAGAGTTTGTAACACCTTCCTTCCACCTCAAGTTATTGATGCACCAACCATCGATTCATTCAAGTCACGACTGGATGAAGCACTGAACCGCCTAACTTTTCAGTACCCGTGAGTGAATGTCAGAATTTCCTATTCATTTGTACTACCAAATAAACCCAGTGTGTACAGATCCTATGGGATTAATTAAGCATCAGCTTTGTAATTTACCCATAATAAAAATTTGAAATGAGGCGGTCTGAGGAGATAAATTGCAAGAACATTTTTTGAACATATTAGATAATGGAGCGATCCAGCGTCTACGGCTCTGTCATTGTTTACACAGCAATAAGTGTTTACACCGAAATTTTCACCATTCACTGATTGAATATGGCCATATGGTTTAGGTCATCATAATAGTGAACCGAAATTCCCGGGTTTCAACCACCACCGCTGTCCGTCTTCCCCATTTCTGTATTATCCCAAGCAGCCTCTGTATGGCCGCGGGCCCCACTCTTTAGAGTTGACTGTACATATATATATATATACATATATATATATATATATTCAATAAATAAAAATGGAAGTAAAAAGATATTTACATTCGATAGACAAATGAATATAACGTTAACATAACTAATTCAGATGAATCGTCAGTGCACACAAAAAAATTCATTTCGAATTTGGCAATAAGATAATCTGTAGAAAGTTTCATAAACCTATCCGGATACCGAAAGAGAAGAAATGGGTGGTGGAAAAAACGAGAGCTGAGTGACAAACTTCTGCTGTAACGAAAAGTAGAAGAAGAGTTCGCCGGAGCTTACCTGAGAATTGTTTGTGTTGTGGACGGGAACCCAGTGTATTGTAACCCGATGAGGAAATCCTCACAGAGTCGGGGAAGAGTAGTCAATCCGGGACGAGGAAGGATCACTTGTGTGATCGGATCGATTGGTGAAATCCAACAGAGGTTTCGGAATCGGGCATAGAATACCAGCTCTTTGGACATGAACTCAAACAGGGGTCGCAGCACAACCGGATTACCGTAGCGTCGATCAACGAACATCTGTGTTGCCAAGAATCAGGACAATAATACTTTGAAAGCCATATGATGAAACCAATTACACAAAAGACAAGTACCGTGACTCTCAAGCATTATCAGTTTGGCAACGATCAGTGAAGTTCACTCCACTGTATTACGCTGTACAATGATGATGACAGTGAATCCCCTATTAACTGATGTGCTATCAGATTATATTTCACACTTGAGTCCCAACTAAGTCACACATATCAAGGTAGAATAATGTGAAAATCAATGCATTACTTAGTTCACGGCACTGTCACGTTGCCCAACCCACCCAGGCAACTTTTCGCACCAGTTAAAGCCTAAACCGAAAGACAGCGGGATGTGAAAACTGCAATCCAGTGGGATCATACGTCACTGGGAGGTATTTCACACGTCCGCGGTGACCAACACGCGCGACTGAGCAGCTGGCGTTGCGACGATTAGGTCCTGAAGCCAGTCTGTATTTTACTTCTTTGGATGTAAACAGCCCAGGAAATGCTCTACCGAATACAGATCTCATTACGTACACATCTTTGTTTTTCAGAACTCGGATGACCCAATGGAAGCGATCGTTTCCAATATGCCGTACTAAGATTATACGATGTGGAGTGAATGAGTGCCGTGAAACCCCCCGTCATCGGTGAAGTTGCTTCTCCGTTTTCCGGTTCTATCCTATGCAACTGTCAGTATTTCCCATGAGGCATCAGCACTCGATGGTTACAGGTTGGCAAAACAAGAACCAACATACGGTTTAGTGAATATTTCTTCTGATATCTGAAGTGGAAATTAAGCGTCTTCCAGCGACGCGTTCAGACCCGTTGGAAAATTGGCACATGCACAATTTGACACTGCATTCCTTCACGTTTACGTTCGGAGTTGTCCACGATAAGTAATTGGCGGGTTGGATTACACCAGATTGTTGCAATCTCTCGGCATAAAATGATTGGATAGCATTCTATGGTGCACAGCATTTTAACTTGAAAGTTGGCATCAGTAAAAGTGAGGTATTAAACTTTATGCAATGATTAAGGCCTTCTCGGGAATAGATTCAAATTTCTGTTTCACTGATTGTGTCACGAAAAGAAGTGTCACAGCTGATTTACTCCGTGGATTTGAACTCACCCCCTAGAGCTTTTCCGCGTTCGTAGCACATCAAACAATATCTGGTTTCCTAAATAAGAGTACATCACGACGAGACTGCACCTGGACGTGGTGTGCTGACTTGAGCGCCTCCATGACCCTATACAGAATGACTGCTCTCAGCCGCAGATCTAATCATGCCTGGAAGGTCAATGGGAAGAGGCCAGACAAAAATCAGTTTCACAGAGCTAGCTGCTTGGGCAACTCCCGGTTTCCTTTATCAATCCATACTCGCCCCTGGAGAAGTCGCTCCAACAAATAAACCCGGAGAAAGGCAGTCTAGCGGTCAAAAATGACCCGGTGAATGCATTTAGGAGTGAGGTCTCTGGAGCTTCCTCCCAATGGTGGGAGAAGTTTTTGTATTTCATTGGAGAGCTACCACCCGCCCAAGCTGGGCAGCCCTCACCCAATAAGATGCTGTCCCGTCTAGGTTCCACTAGTCTCACTGAGTGTAAGAGACTAAGGGCTAGACCCGAACAGCGAACCGACAATCAACGCACCAACGAACAACATACTGAAACAGAAACCTTGCGTGACAGATCTCAAAAAGCTCCCACTCGGGTACTTCGGTCACGCTTACGCGTTAGACCTACGCTCCACTGCCTTGCAGGTCAGACTTATGGTCCAATGCTCCGGTCAAGGTTCCCAAAAAAAAAACGATTCGTCGGTGTTGGCTACCTGAAAGTTTTAGGTACACGTTTGGAAAACCTTCCTTCCCGTCTGTTCAGTTCTTCCTCTCACTCTCAAATCGTACGAGATGCCTCTTCTTTGATCCAACCGTGGGATATTACTCAGTGCTGCTAACGGACTGTTCCTGTCAAGCACCAACTTCTCGTACAAGAAAAGACACCGCCTTAANCAACCTCTCAGCGGTGGACTCAAATCGGCCACATTGCCATCAGCTACTGTTGGCGAGAATCCATTCAAGGCTGCCGCTCCTATTGGTCAAAACCCGTGGACACGGACCACATTCTACCTACGTCTGGTAAACAAACACAGAAAAGCAACCGGAAGCCAACAATACGATATCAGCGATAATTGCAAATTGGAACTCTTTGATAACCTTTTAGCTTAACCATAAACTGAAGGACTCAGTGAACACTGGATGGCAATCAAGGAAGCGATCCAAATGTCAATCAAAATAACGACAGGTTCTGGAGCAGGATCAAGGCAAAAACTATGGATCTCCTCGACCTTGACTGCCCTGCTCGCAAAGTCATTCCTTCTGATCCTAAAAACGACAAAGCGCGTAAATTCCTTTACGTCGGTTCATCGAGAGCCTGAAGAATGACCGCGAAAAGTGCTGGATAGGAAAACGTAGAAAGATTGAGGAGGCTGCGGCTATTGGTAATAGTCGTAATCTTTCCGTTTAATTAGAAGTACGGGTTCAAGGAAAGTAGGCGTGAGTTAGTCAAGTAGTCTGGTGGCCCAATGAATCATATTCAGCGACACCGTCCGGAACGATGAGCCGAACATTCTAAGGCACAATTCCCCTGGCCCCGGGCGACAAAAGACTTCCTTAAACGTGATTGGGAAACTATTGCCAGTTGACATCAGTCATCCATCTAAAGTGGAGATTACCTGAGAAATCAGTTACCTAAAAGGGTATAAGGCCTTCAGTCCAAATGGGGTGTCCCCTTTCAGTTTTTAAGGATGAAGGGTCGACGTTGATCTTGGAGTTAACGAAACCCCTGAGAATAGTGCGAGAGGAGAGAGGTTCCAACGGAACGCGACGAATCGATCATCATACGAATTTACAACAAAGATGACAGATTCTCTCGTGAAAACTACAAGGTGAATTAGTTTAATCAACATGCTCTATAAACATTTCGCTGGTATTATACTCCGTCGATTGTCTAACGCACATGAACGATGCACGCGTAAAAACCAGGCTGATTTTAGGCCTGGTCGAAGTTGTATTGACCATATAGTTAGTCTTCGTCAAGTTCCAGAACACAGACACTCCTTTTGTAGACCCACCATTTTCATCTTCCTCGATATGAAAGCGGCTTCTGATTCAGTCGCCGCTCTAAACTCTGGCGCTGCCTTTCCTTGAAGGATGTGTCCGAGGTGTTAGTTTCAATCTAGCGATCTCTTTACACCAACGGCTGAAGCCAAGTTCGAGCTTACGGTACTTTTTCGTCCGAGTTCACTACAGTAAGTGGTGTGCGTCAGTTGCTCTCTCTCCGTTTCGATTTAACTTTGTCATAGATACAATTCTTGAAACAGCTCTAACCTCGTGTAAGGGTAGCGGCATCGATTTGCCCCCAGGTGGTTGATTGCCTGATCTAGAGTACACAGACGCCATTGTGCTGCTAACTGAAAATCCAGGTCATTTGCAAGCATCTCTGGATATTTTGAGTGTTAGTGCTGCCCTGCTGGGTATACGTTTTGCACCATCATAGATTACGTTGGTTGGGACAAGTGTTACGCATGTCACCAGATAGGTTACCACGGCGAGCGATGTTCGCCGAAGAAGATACAGAGTGGAAAAAAGCCAAGGGTGGTCAAGCTAAGACCTGGCACGAGGGTGTGAAAATCCTAACCAGGAGACTGGGTCACATAAGTCCTGTTAGGCTCCCTGGATGGGGACCTCGGGATGATCGTAACGGATGATTAGAGACACTGAGTGATATTGTTGGGCGTCGCAAACAGTGGCGTTCGTGCACCTTCTCAATCTGTTTGCAACCTTAGACCACTGAACTTCTTCATTTTCTGTTCGACTCCACTTTCAAGTTTCCTTTCTTCTCCTATTCTTCATTCAACTGGGCGGTGAATATTCGTCTCGGCTGGTAATCTGATTCAAAAACCGCAGCGATTGAACATTCACTGCACACAACCTAGAGATACGTAACAGGCGAAGGTTTGCTGAATGACCGTCGATATAGTTTTGGATTCACGGGGGACCCAATGACTTTCACATAGTATTCCTGGTCAACTGCACAAGATAACCACGGAGAAACTCATAAGGTTTCTAATTCCAGAATAATCCCATTGTAAAATCAGAACACAAGTCCGAAGGCGAAAAACTGTTTTCGAATGATTCATAATCGTGTCTGTTTAGATCACATAAGGGTTTGTTGTTAGTGGGGACACATTTTCACACTGGGTCGAAAGGTCATTACCCCACCCCTCCCCTCTCCCCATCCCAAATAACCTCTCGACGCAGTGTGATCATATGGTTTCGCTCGACATTTCAAAGATCCTCTACCGCGTCC